TGTGTGCCTTTGATGGGGGAGGCACAGAGAGCCGCGGCCAGGGAGGGCGGGCCCAGGATACGCGTGTCGGGTGGCACAGGCGTCGCGGTGGCTGTGACGAGGGTAACCGTGCCATCCAGCACCGCGCGGCCCCGTGCGGGCCGTGGCCCGCCCTGAACAAGGGCAGGAGCTCCTGCCAGGTGTCCACGAACTTCGTCACGAAGCACGCGGTCTAGCAGAGCAGGGCCGGGCGTCCACCCGCGTTCCGGCACCGAGCCTTCCTCTTGGGGAGGCCCTGCCTTTGAGTGGCGCTGAACGTCACGGGCTGCTTGGCGACAGCGCGTGGCCCTGAGTGCTTCAAGTGCATCCTCACATCCGGACAAAGGCGTGGTGCATGTGCTTGGGGCCAGTGCCGTGCACGTGGGAGTACCCATGCCTGGACCAGACTGCCTCCTTCCTCATCTGATGGAGGGTAACACTGATACCTGACATACAGGGCTGCCGTGGGGAAGGTCAGAGGTGGAGCGCAGGCAGAGTTCCCGTTGTGTTTCCCGACAGGTGGTACCAACGGACTCAGCCCACGGAGGTGAGCACCGGTGTGCGTCTCAATACTTCTTGGAGGAAAATACTGTCACCCCTGTTTTACAGAAGACGAACAGCTGCCTTTCAGTGGAGCTTAACAGCATCCTGTGGTCATGCATTTCCCATGTGCCAGGGCCCAGGCTTAAAGCCTGGGATTTTCTGACTCTTTGATTTCACCGGGATGCTCATCCGTCCCAGCACACTGCTGGCTCCTGGCTGGACTAGTCTGGTAGCTTTTAAATTCAACCGTGGTCATAACCTAGTGCACGCATGCACACACACACACAGACACATCTATAATGTGATACAGAAGTTTCATGAAATAACACTTCCCCTCCCTAAATGCAATGCACTCTGGTATTTTCCACTCCATTTGGCTTCAGCTTTAAAGGAAAATGCTGGTGGTGGCCTGATGAATTGATTTCATGGCCCAGCATGGGCTGTAACCCACCAGGGACACCCTAACAGCAATTTCTAGGCGCTCTTCAGTTCTAATTTTGTCTGATTCTCCTAAAACAAGAATACAAACAAAAATCTTCAAACCTGATTCCCTTGGTTTTTATTTCTTTGAGTTTATTAAAAAAAATTTTTTTACTGCCTTTCAAGTTTGGGCCTTTGTTCAAATGTATAGTGAATCCTTAGTGACTAATCATATTTTTAAAACACTTTGTATACAACTTTTGAAGGTTACATTCTGCCTACAGTTATTTCAAAATATTGGCTCTGTTCCCCATGTGGTACGTATATCCCCGTAGCCTGTCCCACACCCGGTAGTTTGTACCTCGCACTCCCCCACCCAGAACAGAAGACCTGGACTCGGGAGCAGTTCGAGTGGACGAGGAGTAAGGATTTTAGCTGAAGTCAACACGTGGAAACATTGCAATGCGGAGGTGGCAGGCTTGCCTGCAAGGCCCCCTCCAGGATCCTGTGTTCCCTCTGGGGTGCCAGGTGTTAAGTCAGCCACCTGAGCATGTTTGGAGAAGGACGGTCGCTAAACTGATGGGGAAGGGCCTGACAGTGTTTAAGGAGCCAGGGATGTTTAATCTGATTTTGAAGGAAAAGAGTCTAAACAGTTGAAAAAATTTCAGGCCAGTGTGACAATAGGTCCCTAAGGCAGCAGAAGCCTCCTGTGGGACTGGGTAAGTCTTGAGCCGTCTGATGCATTATCTCACAGAAAGCTTATTTTTATTGGGTTTTTTAGAGTTTTGGTGTCTGCAGTGAGACTCATGCGAAGTGATTGTTAGCGCACTTCCGTCCTGTGAGCGCAGGCGGGAAGCCGCCCCTCCCAGGCTGAGTGAGTGGAGGAGCTCCCCCGCTTGCCCCCGGCCAGCCGTTCCTGAGCTTCAAAGGGCTTTCTAAGGGCGGAGGCCGGCTCCGGCCCAGGCCGGGCCTTGAGCGCAGACGTTCCTCCGCCTGGAGCCTGGCCGCCCGGCG